CGAGCAGCAGCATATCGCCACCGGGAAAGCGCCCGAGCGCCGGCCGCCGCGGAGGCAGCAACCGAAGCCTGCTGCGCCGGATTTTCCCCGCGGAAGTCTTTGCACCGACCTTGGGCACCAGATGTTCGACGACGACGACGACGACGACGACGACGACGACGACGACGACTACAGTGCCGACGAAGACGACGACGACGAAGCCGACGACGACGACGAGAGCCGAGCTCTCGCCTTATTGCTGGGTAAGATCGGAGCAATTGAGCTGCTCACCCATCTTCTCGAGGGGGGCCAGGGCGACCTCGAGCTGTCCAGGGGCCTCGGCAACCTTCTCCATTGGGGCATTGCTAGTCGCCTGCCCGGTCTGCCTCCAGCCCCTACGAGACAACCGCCCGCTGCGCCTGCATCTCCTCCCACTCCTTGATCTCCTTGATGTGCTTGCGGGCCGTCTCGCACTTTGCCGCGCGCTGCCCGACGACCTGTTCCTTCTTCTTCTTATTCGTCTTCTTGTTATTATTACTTGTCTTCATCTTCTTGGTGATTGCGTCCTGCAGCGTGCGGATCTGAGTTGCCGAAAACTTGTCGGCCAGGATCCGCCGCTACAGGGTCTTGGTCTCCGCCTCCTCGGCAGCCGCAAGCTCCTCACTCTTAGGCATCTTGAGCTGCTCGAGCATCTCGAGGTCATGCTTGAGTTTGGCGAGGTCGTCCCGCAGGGCAGCCTCCTCCAGGTCATCCTCGTTCCCCCTCTTCCCTGCCTTGAGCTGCCGAACCTCCTGGCGTAGCTTGGCCAGCTCAGCGTCCCTCTCCTTGATCTGCGCCTCCTGACGCGCAGAGGACGAGGGGTGCACTGTCTTTCGCTGACATCACGTAGATATGGCAGGTTATCATGCCGGCCGCGCTTCTTGCACTCCTTCTCCGTGGGCATGTTGGCCCCAGACATTGACGCACTGGTTGCAGACCCACTTCGCCAGGCCCCCCTTCGCCATGACCGGCGCTGCAGAGCCGTGGTGCGAGTCGAGCGGGTAGGCCGCCTCTTCCAGGCGGCGCGCCAGGCGAGGCGTGAGCCGACTGCGCCAAGCGTGTAGTATGTCGCGCGAGGCAGCACTTAGAGGCCACATGCGAACGCGACGCCCTCACCCGGCGGGGGGGGGGGGGTTCGTTTGGGACCTTCCGAGCGAAATGAACCCCACCCCCCCTTAGAAGTCGTGGAGTGGTGGGGTAGTGTTCGCATGTGACCTCCTGAGCACGCGCCGCCCGAGCCGGGCACGTGGTGCGCCAGTCTCGCCCCAGGACTCTGGTGCCGGAGAAAGTCCGCTGCTGGCGACGCAGCTACGGTGGGGGTTTTCCTCCAGGAGTTTGCCCAGGAGGCTGCAGACCCTGGAGGATTCCTGATCTCGTGAGAGTTGCGATGATGCCCATTGCCACTCCACGATTGCCGTTCCACCGTCTTCCAGACCCTGGATTCCTTTTCCAACGGTTCCGCATCCAATGCCCTCACCGTACCCCCCAAAGCCATTTGCCGGCCCCCCGGAGTCAGAATTGGGGCCATCTAGGAGGAGATCGATCACAGAAGGGGGTGGGGGCCATATTAGGATTCCCCCCGAGGCAGGCCAACATAGGCCAACAATCTGTGTGAAAGCATTCATTTGTGCGTTCTCACCGAAGCCGTATTGAATGCTCCAATGGGTCGCGGGTCGCCCCGTCCAGGTCCAGAGGGAATTGGGCAGGGGGGGTAAACCCTTCCCCAAAGGGGAGAAGGGAGGAGCTGGTCGAGGAAACGCTCCAAGCCGCTCGCGCCCAGAGGGCTGGTGGGATTACAGAACGAATGCTCTCGAGGCAACACTTGGGCCGCCACGTGGTGCGCGGCTTGCCCCGACATTGCTGCTCGACTCCTGGCGTTCGTTATTCCACTGCAGTGCTGGGTCTTCGCGTCGCTCGGCCGTGTGTATTTGTTCCTCGGTGAGGACAATCGAGGAGCATCCTGGATCATGGGGCAAAAACACACGCACGAAATCGACAAATACACGGGGACTTTACATAGCGATGACGAGGGGTGTGGACGTCCTAGGAAGACTGCCAATCGGATGCCACTCCTGCGAGGCCGAATTCGGCGACGCCGCTAGTATGGTCGGGAACTGGCCTGAACCGGAATATGCCATCCAGTTCCGCGCAATCCCGCTTAATCCGCTTGCCATCTGGTTTGATCTTGGGCCCGTAGGGCGAATCCAGCTCCGCCGCCCCCCAATCGGGCTTCATAGCCCTCAACCGTTCGCATGCAGGCTTCCCGGGAGGTGCCTCCCACTTGTCGGCTTGACCCGCCCCCCTGGGCGAGGGCCAGTCGTCGAAGACGTTCTACCGCATCTCGCCCACGGCCCTCGCGGCGACCGCGCTGAGGCCGCGGCCCCCCCGCGCCCACCCGCCAGGACGTGTTTGGATCCGGTTGGACCGATCTCCATCCCCGAACCCCTTGCGCCATGATTTTCTCGTGACGTGGACCTCCTGGAGGTCTCGATCCATCCGCGGGCACCGGCTTTCCATGCTGCGTCGCCGCTGGATGGATCCATCGGCCCGGCGAGGGCCCCCAGAGGCCGAGCATTATAGGCCCACTTGCCAGCCGTGCTTTTTTACGACCCTGGGAGTTTGTTTTGTTTTGTTTTGTTTTGTCGACACAAACACACACATGCACATCACAAGCAAACATTAGTGATGTTTCTCGGCCGCCCCGAGCCGATCCAATTCCGTCATTCCGACGGCACGGTGCGGCCCGATGGTCAGTGGCGGCCCAACCGACCCCTAGCAAACTACCCCCTTCCATTCGATGCTCGTTTCGGGGACCTTCCTGGAGCCCACCTAACGAATCTGTTCGACCCCAGCTCGACTCAAGTTCGACTCAAGTTCGACTCAAGTTCGACTCAGGTTCGACTCAGGTTCGACTCAGGGTCGACCCAAATCGACTGACGTTCGACGCAGCTTCGACGCACGAGTGGAGCGAGTGGCTCCAGGAAGGTCCCCAGAACGAGCATCCAACTTCCATGACGTACCCCTCGCCTCCTCGCCCCAAGACGCACGTCTGCGGCCGGAGGGGAACTCGAAAGGCGAGGATCACGTCACGGAAGGGGATGGTCTGCCAGGGGTCGGTCAGGCCGCGCCCGAGATGCTTGCGCGGGCGCAGCGTTTCTGTTCCTCGGCGATCGGCCCCGCCGGCCCCGGCTCGGTTCCGACCGCGTGGCGGAGGGATCCGATCGGTTTCGTGATCTCGGTGTTGAGCGGTCGTGTTGGCGGCTTGGCATCGCTCGGACGTGTGCATTTTTTCCTTCGGCGAGGACCATCGAGAAGCATCCTTGATCATTTGGCAAAACAACCACGCACGAAACTGTACAAAAACACAGGGAATGGACGTCCGAGCAATGCCCAGGGGGGGGGCAGGGTTCAGAGTTTTCGGCGAGGGCTCTCGCGGGGTGTCGGGAGTAGTGACTTTTCGCCGCAGTGACCCTGGGGGCGGGCACACTGGGGGTCCCGAACTGGTTGAACGCGATGCGACAGCAGCGGCTGCCGTTGCCTTTGAGTATGTGATGCTATTGTATGTCACGGTACTGTATGCGTTACATGTTGTGATATGGTCTGGTTTGGAATGGCATCGTATTTGCCCTATCGTGTTGTGATGCGATTTGTTTATTTGCTGTGCCGTGTTATGATATGGCGTGATGTCGCATGACGGTGTGATAAGGTATGGCTTGCCAGTGTTTAATATGTTAGGTCGCGCTATACCATATTATAGCACGTCATGGCATGCCTTGCTAGGTTGCGTGATCATGCGGTATGCTATGATACGGTGTGTCACGATGGTATGACACGTTATGAAACGGCATGTTTTGTTTGTTGTGTATGGTCTGTGTATGGTCTGTCTTGTCTATGTTATGGTGTGTGGTCTTAATGTTTTCGGCATGTTTAATGCTATCATGGCGTATGGCGTTTCGAAGGCCCTTGAGCGCTTGGGAGCAGCTACTAAGAATGCGGGAAGTGCACGATCCTCGAGCGGGTGCGCGTGGGATGAGATGCCTCTGGGTAAGTTGCCATGCGGGAGGTGCACCATCCTCGAGCGGGCACCCGTGAAATGGGGCTTGATGCATTCGCTGGGATGCTGGATGTGAAACATTCTTGAGCTGGCACGAGGGAACTTGCCTCGTTGAGTAGCGGGAGGAGCGCAACAGTCCGCGGATGGAGGAATAGGGAGTGCCTTATTTGCATTAGGAAAAAAGCGTACCAGGCAGCCCTTTGCAGTCTTCCACGCCTCAATGTTCGAGGTGACATGGTGGGGGATGTTGCGAGCAATTTCGTTCCCAACCATCCTGTGGTGTTGGGTCCTCGTTTTGAAGAGACGTCGCCCCGCGTTCCTCCTTCCTCCTCCTTCCTCCTCCTCCCCTTCCTCCCCCCTCCTCCCCCTCCCACACCCATTCTGGCACACCCCTCACACGTTTCGTGGCCCCATAGGGAGCTCCACCGAAGGCCCCAGTGGCTGCGCCCGCATGCGGTTCCACCCCCCGTTCTGGCACACCCCTCACACGTTTCGTGGCCCCATAGGGAGCTCCACCGAAGGCCCCAATTGCGGCATTCACAACTACATATGGTTGGGTCCGCCAGGCTATTTTTTGTGGAAATATGTGCAACACATTGTCAAACGTTTTAGTTTGTCAATTGTTTCTCGAAGTCTTGTCATCTTAGTTTGAAGTAGATGTGAATGACCAACGGGGCAACTTCTTGTGAGACTAGTATCAATTCGGGTGGGATGCATTCCACATGTTGTTTAATTTGCCGACGGAGGATTGTTTCACATGCTTTTCAACGTATTGTCAAACTCATTTCGAGTTCTGGTCATATTATGTTTGAATTCGTTTCCATAGCTGGCGTGGGGGGTATTTTCCCATGCTTTTAGTGCAGGAGCTTTTTGGAAGCTGGTCTCAGTGTCTTGGGGAACCCCGGCCTGTCTGATGTCTCGCCCTTCTATCATTCCAGGTCGATGGTTCCAGCCCTGAGAGCTGGTCTTCCCCTGACATTCACCCCTGACCCGGCTTCGCCAGGAAGCGCAACCGACACGGGCCTGGAGGTCTTCCCTGTTCTCGGGCTTGCGGGGCCCTTCGTTGACCCCCGGAGCTGTCAGACATGTCGGGAGCCTCGAGGCGAGGGTTGGTGCAAACGGGGGTCGGCCAGAGCGCCGGATCTCGCAGGATGCTGCAGAGCCAGGGGCGCACTGACCCTGCGTCGGGTGCAGGAGCTTTCCGGAGCTTGCAGGTCCTGCAGGTTCTTGCAGAGCCTGACTGAACCAGATTTGCGTCGACCTGTGTCAGGAGAAGTTGGAAAAAACACGGGATGAAGCATTTGCCATGGGGGAAGCCCTCCGCATCCAGGGCCCGTTTCTCCTGCAGGACCCGCCAGCGGTCTCATGGCTGAAGACTTCCCTCGAAGTTTGAGCCCCGACCGGCGCTTCAGAAGGCTTGGCCTGCGGGGGACTCTTGGGAGGTTCAACTCAATACCGGTGTTGGTATATCCGTGGTCGAACTCAAGTATACATCCCGTTTAATACGGCTTAGTTGTTCCCGCATCGTTGGGTTGAATCACCTGCTGTATCCAGCCCGATCTGGCTAAATGGCCCCTCAATCGGGCCTGAAAGCCCCCAATCGTTCTTACGGTGACCTAGCAGGAGTTGCCTCCTAAGGTAGGGTTCGCACGGCCTGTCGGTTTGGGTTGGTTTCGGATTCGTGCTTCGGTTCGGTAGGTTTTCGGTCGTGTTGTCTCGAGACTCGAGGCCTGGCCGTTCTTGGGCCTCCTTGAGGATGCTCGTCGCCGCACGAATTCTTGCCAGAGCGTCAGATCCGCTTCTGACGACTGGTCAGATCGCACCCACAGACCCTGGATGGGTCGATGCATGATCAGGTTGGCCTGTAATGAAGATGCATCGCTTCACGGCGTTCCATGTCGCTCGCAGAGCTCTTTGGAGCTTTTTTGGGCGGCCGCGGCGCTGAATGTATCCTCCAGACCTGCCAGGTCTCAGACATTCCACATGTTGTTCTCACCTTGGCGTTGTTTTCGATTTTAAATCATCCACGACCACGACGGCGGCAGCGACAGCGTCGGTCAGCCTCACGTAAGACCGACCCTTCGCCGGAGTGGCCTTGGGTCAGCAATTTTCGGGGTGTCCGAGGGTTGGCGGGGATGCACACCCAGGCACGCATGTCTCCACCGTCGCATTGCTCATAGCGGCCAGGAGGCTGCGCACCAAAGGCCATGCTTTGCCTGGGGTCACTGCCGCTACATGTGCGCAGCCGACAGACGACTACGCTGTCTACGACCACGGTGGCGACAGCGTTCACACGGCGACGGCGGCGGCGGCGACGGCGGTGACGGCGGCGGGCGGCGATGGCGGCAGGCGATGGCGGCGGCGGCGACAACGGCGGCGACGGCGCTGGGCTGCAGCGGCGTGGCGGCGGGCGGCGGCGGGCACCCGCGGCGGCGCCGGCGCGCGGTGACGGCGGCGCGTCTTCGTTGCCCGGCGCGTCGGCGCGCCCCTCCGTTTGAGTCGGGCACGTTCCATTACAGGAGGGATCTTCAGACATAGCGAACAAGAAGTCTGGGAACGATGCTAGGGCTATTTGTGGATATGTGTTGGCTATCTTTTACTTAATCGCTTCGCTCATTCCGCCGGCCCTGGAGCGCTCTCTGGGACCTCTTGAGTCTCCTTGGCGGCGTCTTGGGGGCCTCTTGGGGCGGGAGGGGGAGGTGGTCGATTGCGGCTCCCCCCTCGGTGGCCACAACCATGGCCGGGGCACTTTTCGCTCGAGCGCGAATCATAGAACTATATCGCGAACCAGGTGCCGGAGATCTGAGCACGCCTCTGGCTTGGGCGTTGCGTAATGGAGGGGTCATAAATAGGGGGGTGGCGAGGGTGGTCCGAAAAGGTACCCAAACGGTACCTAAACGAGCCCCCTGGGGGTCTGGAGGGGCCCGAAAGGGGCACGAAAGGGGACCGTTTCTGACCCCCCCATTTGTGACCCCCCCATTAAGCAACGCCCAACTGGCCCGTTGGGCGGGCGGCGCTTCCTCCCCGCTCCGCCTGCAGCAGGCCGCGCCCGGCCGGACCCTCCGCCTCCGGCCCAACGGCGCAGCCCCCTCCCCGCGGCGCAGCCCCGCCCCCCCCCGCGCGGCCGAGCGCCCCGCGGCACCCGCCTCCGCGGGGGGAGCCAGAGGCTCCCTGCGCCGGGCGCGCGGCCCCGCGCCCCCGAAGGCCAGGGGCGCTGCCAGGCCCAGAGGCCCAGCGCAGTGAGAGAAAGCAGGACGGAGGTCTTTCCCAATGTTCGGCTTCTATATATATATATGTATATATATATATATATATATATATATATATATAGGGGGGGCCCTCGCGGGGCCCCGGAGCCGTCAGAGAGCGGCTCGGGAGATGAGAAGTCGGTCCCAGGGAATGGGTCGAGACTTCGGGGACCGCGCATTGACAACAATCACGACGCCGGATCTCCGGGGAGGCATCCCAGGGTCCAGGAGTCCCTCGGAGGGCGCCCCGAGGGCGTGGTGGCTGCCAGGGCTGGACTCCAGACGCTGTTCGGCTGGACGTCGGCTGTGTTCTGTTTCTCGTCTGGGCAGGGAGGTGCAGGAGAGCAGGCAGGGCAGAACGACACACAGAACGAAAACGAAACGAAAGGCAACGGTTAGGTTCAGCCCTGGTGGCCGCACCGCAGGGTGGGTCCGCGGGGATCTCCTTGGGTTTTGGGGATGCTTGCGTCGGTGCCCAGGGGTCTTCCTGCCTCCGGGCGCGTTCTGGCAGCTGCGCCGCGTCGAGAGCGTTCCCCGGTATGCCCGGATCGGCCTTCGGAGGAGGGGGAGGACCGGTGTGGTGCTTCAGTGTGGATGCGGGGTGCCACCGCACGGTGTTGGGACTCGGGCCGTTCTCCAGTGATGTCTCGGGCGATTGGGACCCCCAGCTTAGGTCGTTGGGGGGTTCTTGCGGATTCCGGGGTCACCACGCGGTGAGGTCGTCGGGGATTCTGAGGTCACCATGCGCTCCATCACCACACGGTTCTGGAGGCCCGAAAGGATTCATCCAGGTCTCGCAATTGGGGTCGGAGTGGATGGGGTCGGAGGAAGAATGCATCGGCGATGCGTCTCGCGGCTTGCTGTGGATCCCGATTGTCTCTACGCCGACGGCCCCGAATCGCCAATGCACAGGAACGACCCTCCGGCCCCATCTACTCGGACCCCACTTGGGATGCCTCTAATTCAGGGGCAATGTCGGGGGGGGGCTCAGGGAAGGGGGTGCGTTCCGACGTGTTCAGAAGCCTTCGAGGTCCCGGGTCACGTCGTCGAGAGCGGTCCGATGGGGGCCCGAGCAGCCGCCAGAGAGCCGAGCTATGACCCGAAGTCCAGGGGACAACGCTAGGGGGGGAGAGGCTCATGTGGAGACCCGAACCATCAGGGGCAACTCGGGTCAGGGCTGACTCGGGTTCGTTTCTCGGCAATCCGAACCCGAGTTCCCCCGGGCCCGGGTCACCCCGGAGATATTTCAGGAGGGAAAAAAACACACAGACACAATTATCTTCGATGCCCCAGAAAATATTGGAAAATATGGGCAGTGGGGGGGAGGACGAAAACCCAGAAAATACAGGAAAATATGGGGAATCTTTTTATTTGTGTGTGTATTTGTTTGTGTGCCCCAGGGCCCCTTCAATAACTCGGGCGCCCAGCGCCCCGCCCAGGCACGCGCGGACGACTCTCTCTCGAGGGGGGGGGGCGCGCCGACCTTTTTCGGCGGCGCGCCGCCGATTCCGCCTCGGCGGCCGCCCCCCGGAGCGGCCGCCCCCTCCTCTGGCGCTCCTCCCCGGAGAGAGCCCCCCCCCCCCCCTGGCATCCCCAGAGGGGGGGGGGGCCCACCCAGGGGGGGGGGGGCCCACGGCCTCTGCCATCTAGGCCTCCTAGATGGGGTCGGAGCAGATGGGGTCGGAGGATCGCGCGGCATCGCCGATGCATCGGCGGTGCGGCTCGATGTGGAGCCCGATTTCATCCACGCAGACGTCGCCGATGCATCGCCGACGTAGCCGATGCGTCGCCGATGCATCGGCGATACATCGGCGATGCACTGGCGAAGCGGCGCGATCCTTCGACCCCATCTACTCGGACCCCATCTACGAGGCCTCTATGGCAGTTCCCCGCGCCCTTGCGAGGCCGCGGTGCCCCCAGGCCCCCCCCCCCCCCCTGACCTTCCAGAGTGCTAAAAGATGACACTCCAGAGCCATAGATCGATCTGGACTGCCCCAAAGCTCGACAGGAATTAGGTCGACGTGCTAGTGCTGTTCTTTAGCCCCCCTGGAAGGTCAGGGCCCCCCCGCCCCCGGAGTGGCGGGGAGAGAAGTGGGGCCATCTTGGGGGCCTCCGGCGCCTTGGTGGTGTTGCGCAGGGCGGCGTCCCAGAGGTCTGGGCCGGGCTCCTTCCCCGGGGGCCCGCGCTTCACCCCGCGCCGTTTCCCACGATGCATCCTCGGGGGCATCGTCCGTCCTGCAGGTTGCTGTCTTCTTTCCCGTGCCCGACTCCGACTCGATGCGGGTTCGACGCGGACTCGACATGGATTCGACGTGGATTCGTCGCGGATTTGACACGTGTGCGACACTGATAGTGGCGCGATGGGACCGACAGGGTCCCGCCGAAGATGCAGCGTAGCTTTTTTTGACGGCCTCATGGGCCCGGACAGGCCCCCCCCGGGGCCCGACGAGGGCCAGACATTTGCCGCCGTGTTGTGTTGCTTCGGCACCACCCGCACACACGGACAGACACAATTCATCGTCGATCTCCAGGAGACTACGGACACATACGGGAAGTGGGTGGGAAGACGAAATCCCCGAAAATACAAATACATGGCATCCCTGGATTTGTGTCTATTCGCTTGTGTGTCCCTGGGCCTCTCCATCAAGTTCATGCCGTATATGCGTGTCGGTCATGCAGGGGCAGCGCGCACGCTCAGCAGTCTTTTATCATAGGCTCCGTGGCGGGCGACACCTGTCCGCAGCGCTCGGGGAACGACGTGCTACAAGATCTGCGCACGGCCTGCGCCTGTCGCACGTGCGCCTCCATCATCAGCACACTTGTGCCAGCATGTCTCTGTGCGCCCCACTGTTCAGGAGCGAAAGAAGGACGTACATGTACATGAATCCACGCTGGTTTCGAGAGCACTTCTTGCACAAATGTTCGTATAACGCGGCGGGTCTCGCGAATCGCGGGGCCGTGTTCATGTACATAGCTGGGCGCGTACGTCCTTTGTGGGCTCCCTAACTGTTCGTTCACAACGCGAGGAGGCCAGGGTTGGGGCAGGGCCGCCTCCTGGCAGCCCCCAGGGAGCGTCGATGCTGGCCGCCTGCGCGAACGCGCGGGACGTGTCCGGCCGCCGCGCGGCGTCCCCGAGCAGCATGAGCCTCGGCGGCGAGGGCAGCGTGCAGGGGGCCATTGACCAGGTCGGCCTCCTCCGACGCCTCCTCTGGCCCTCTGCCTCCCACCCCTTTCTGCCTCGAGCGAGGCGACAGCGACAGCGCCGAAGGGTGCCAGTCTGGAGCCGAGCTTGCCTGCTTGGGGCCTGATCCCGCGCACAGCGCAGACCCATGCCATGCCCGTCCTTCTCCTCCTCCTCTATTCTTTCCTCCTGATGGACAACTCCTCCCTGTCACACCCCGAGGCCAGTGTTTAAAGCGGGCTGGGCGTTTCGCCTGAGATCTCCTCACCATGTATGACTCTGAAGTTTTATCAGTGACAACAGTTTCACCTATAGGGGGGCGGGGCGTTTTCAAAATGTGGCTCTCGCCTGGGCGCCGCGCACATCCGGTTTAAGCATTTGCAAGAGCTTCACGGATTGAGGGCGGTTCCTTTTCAAAAGGTGGTTCTCGCTTTAGCGCCGCGAGCATTCGTTTTTAACATTTGCAAGAGCTTCACGGATTGAGGGTGGGTGTTTTTTTTAATGTTGTTCTTGTTTTCGCGCCGCGCACATTCGTTTTAAACATGCGCAAGAGCTTGACGGATTGAGGGCGGTTCGTTTCCAAAGTGTGGTTCTCGCTCTAGCGCCGCGCACATCCGCTTTAAAACTTCAATCCTGTCACGGAATGAGGTCGGGTGGTTTTCAACATGTTGTTTTCGCCTTAGCGCCGCGCACATCCGCTTTAAAGCTGTACAACAGTTTCACGACTTGAGGGCGGGTGGTTTTCAACATGTGGCTCTCGCCTCAGTGCCGTGCACATCCGTTTTAAAGAAACGCAAGAGATTCACGGACTGAGGGCGTTTTTTATCATCATAATGTGGTTCTCTCTTCATCTCCGCGCACATTCGTTTTAAAAATCTACACGAGTTTCACGGATTGAGGGCGGTTCGTTTTCAAATTGTGGTTCTCGCCTTAGCGCCGCGCGCATTCGTTTTTTAATAACAGTTGCAAGAGCTTCAGAGCTTTCCATGATCAACGTTACAGAAATTGCATTTGGGACGTATTCAGGATTCTGCCGGCGCAACAATCATGTTGACTCGCTGTGTCGAAGTCCCAAACATGGCATTCTGGCACGGTTCTGGATCGTCAAGACGCAGCAGTCAGGTTGATACGTGGCGTTAAAATCGCGAGAACAATGTTTCGGCACGCTTTCTGATCTTCAAGCTCTCGTTTTCCAACGAGGCAGTTCCCTCAATGGAAATGAACCGCTGTAGGGGCCTATGAAGAGGAAGCTTGGAGGGAGGGTGAATTCCAACATCGATGATGACTCTTGGGTTTCCACTGGTCCTCCTCCTCCTCCTCCTCCTCCTCCTCCTCCTCCTCCCTCTCCCTCCTCGTCTCCCCTTGTCCTCCCTGCTTCTCCTGCTTCCACCTCGTGCTGTTACTCCTCCTTTCCGTCCTCCTTTCTCCTCCTCCGCCGTCCTCCTCCCCCCCTCGCCCCCTCGGATAAGGAAGGAAGGCGGATGGGGCAGGAGGCGAGGGGTTGAAAAGAGAAAGGCGGAAGGAGGAGGGAGGAGGGAGTCAGGACGATGCGGGGAAAGATGCGGGGGGAGGATGCAAGGCCAGAGTCAACTCAAGATGTGCCGCGATGCTGCGGCGTGTCTTGGAGGGAGGGTTTATTGCAATATCGTTGACGGATCGGGTTTGTACTGGTCCCCCCTCCTCCCCCTCCTCCTACCCCTTCCCATCCCCACTCATTCTCCTCCTCCTCCTCGATCTCCTCCTCATCTTCCTCCTCCCTCTCCTGTTCCTCCCCATCCTCCTCATCCTGCCTATTGTTCCTCCCCCTCCTCCTCCTCCCCCTGCCTGCCTCCTCGCGAAACCCTCTTCCTGCCACGAGGGAGCTCCGCTTCCCGTCCCGAGCACCCGCAGAACATCCCTGCATCTTTGGCGGATTATGACGAAGGCGACTGCGGACAGGAATAACCCTTTTCGATGCTCGCTTCGGGGACCTTCCTGGAGCCCACCTAACGGATCTGTTCGACCCCAGTTCGACTCAAGTTCGACTCAGGTTCAACTCAGGTTCGACTCAGGGTCGACCCAATTGGCTGACGTTCGACGCAGCTTCGACGCACGAGTGGAGCGAGAGGCTCCAGGAAGGTCCCCAGAACGAGCATCCAAACCCTTCGATTCAACAAGGTGTCCAACCGAATTCTTCTCTGATGGAGGACCGGCCCCATCTGTGTAAGTGTTTGTTTCGACGACTCGTCAAAGGGACTCTTCGCTGGAGTGACCTTATGGTGCGGGCTCACCGTGGCCCCCCCCGATCGCCGAGTGCGATGTAGCAGTGGCTGCCTGCGCGCTTGGATCTGGCCACCTTGCGCCCCCCCAATCCGCGTACGGAAGGTCACTCTTGCCGTCACTCTTTTTGCGTAGCCGATTTGTTGGTCACGGCTATGGAAGTCTCACGCAAGAGCCCCATGCTGAACAGTAGTTGTTGCAACATTGTGCGACGACGATAAGTTGCGCTCGGGCGGCAACCACATTTTCAAGCTAAGCTGCCCTCCGTCCCTGCACGTCTTGCGAACTCTGATGACGATGCGCGCGGCGCGAGGCCTCAGAACATGTCTCTGCTGAAAACGACATCTCCGCCCGCGTGATTGCCGCAAACTGCTGCGGCGTATGCCGGCGGCGCTGAGACGAAGGATTCCTTCCGAAAGCGAGCCCCCCCTCGATCCTCGCCAGCATTTCAAACTTGTAATCATGCAAGCCACAGTTGGAAACCCAGCCAATGCAAGCATTTCAAACTTGTAATCGTGAAAGCACCCCCAATCCTCGACAGTATTTCAAACATGTAATCATGAAAGCAATGCGCGCGGCGGTCGTATGCAAGCCACAGTTGGAACACGGAGCCGCCCTGCGTCCTGGAAGCTGCTGCCGCAGACGTTGGCGACGAGGGTGCGCGGCGCGCCGGCGAGAGCCCCCGCGTGAGAGCCAGTCCCCCCTTTCGGGGGCGGCAAAGTGGGGGGTGATGACTAGGGGGGGGTGGATATCATGGCGGGGGCCATGCTATTTCCCCAGATCTCGTGGCGCCTCTTCTTGTTTCATTCCGTCCCTGGCCCCCCCGCTGGGCCGCGCCCATGCCGCCGGTCATGATTTGCACCCCCCCTCTGGGACACCCCCCTCTTGGCCGCTCCCGACCCTTTCCACGCCTGCGGCTGTCGCCATTTCCAGGCTTCGGGATGGAGGAAGCCCACGACGAAAGGCCAGGCCCGCCCTGCCGACACACACCTGTGGGTGCGACAGGGATGAGTCGTCTCCCCCTCGCCGTCCGCCCCCCTCCTTCCTCCCTGCTTCTCCTCGCACTCCTTCCCGCCTGCTCCTACTCCCCCCCAGGCTACCCTCCTCCTTCCCTCCTTCCTTCCTTCCTTGCGTGCTTCCTTCCATACTCCTCCTCCTCCTCCTCCTCCTCCTCCTCCTCCACCTCCGTCTCCGTCTCCGCCTCCGCCTCCGCCTGCGCCTGCGGCACGTGCATTCCGCAACGGGGCCCACCCCAATCCGTGCCTCCTCCTCCTCCTTCCTCCTCCTCGCCCCTCCTGCTGCTGCTCCCCCGCCTCCCCTTTGGCTCCCTCCTGCTGGGGGTCGGAGGGCAGCCTGGCCGCCCAGGGGGCCGCCCAGGGGGCCTCCCACCCCCGCTCCCAGGTGGAGCGGCGCGCCGCCCGCAACCTGGAGGCCAGCAACGCCGCCATCGCCGCGCACATCGGGGCCCTCTCGGAGCGGCTCAACAGGCCGAGGGACAGACGATGATGTGCAGTGGGGGCCCATGCCAAGAAGCACCCTGCTCGCCTCCAGGGTGCCCTGGATTTGTCTCGGGTCTCGATGGTTTTGCGATGGGAAGCGTGACGCTCCCGCACCAAAAGAGCCAATGCACGTCCTGCGGTCTCAGGAACTGGGGGGCTTCTTTTGGAAGGGCTATGTGGTCGGGCTCCTACTGCATACACATGCAGCTTTTTTTGGAGGTCCGCGCGGATTCCTTGGATCGGCGCCAGGCCCCCCCCCCCCGGCGGGCCTCTCTGCGCGCCCCGCGCGCCCGGGCTGGGGGGGCCCAGTGCCGAGGCGAGGCCCCCGCGCGGGCCTCCGGAAGTTTACGCCTGCGGCGGGCTCGTGCCGTGTCGGCCGGCGGCGACCCCGCCTGCGGCGTTCAACTTTGCACGCCGCGGGCGACCCCTTGGCATCGCTCGGACGTGTGCATTTTTCTTTCGGCGAGGACCATCGAGGAGCATCGATCACTTGGCGAAAGAACCACGCACGAAACCAGCAAAAACACAGGGAATGGACGTCCGAGCGATGGCCAGACCCAGAATCGTTCGATGTGGACCGACTCGGACGTTTCGGAAACGGCCAATCGTTCAAGGTGGAACAATCCGCGCGGTGTCAGGAACCGACGCCGAAGTCGGCACGACACGGACCTGACGTATGCCTATGCCTCGCAGGGTGGAGAAGGGCCAGCGCGAGGCCGCGCTGATCCCGCTCAGCGAGAGGACGGCGGGGATATCGCCGCGTGTCGGCCGTTCGTCTTGGGGGCATCTCCTGGCGCAGGCCTGGCGCATCGGTGCGACTCCAGCTCGGCTCTGGCCTTGAGCCGGGCATGCCCCTCTACAGGAGAAATATCCAACTATTTGGGATTCTGATTTGTTTGTTTTAGCTTATTGTTTGCGCACTTTTCATTTTTCACCCCAAATCCGCCTGTAGGGGGACATTCCCGACCTAAGTTTGATTCCTGGTTCGGCTCCAGCTCGACTCTACCTCGACCAACGCTCAACTCAGGTTCGACTCTCAAGTATTGCTCAGGGCGACGGACGTTCGACGCAGCATCGACGCACGAGTGGAGCGAGTGGCTCCAAGAAGATGCTCAGAGCGAGCATCGGACCCTGAGTGACGAACATTCCACCAGATCCTTGCCTCCCGCACCACTGAGCCAGCCCCCCGCTTGTCCCCTTACATCCGACGACGTGCATTGTTCACAACGAGGCTCCCCAGAGGATGGACCCTGGACCCCTTCCCAGAGGCTGCCATTTCGTCCTGGATGGTGCTGTGATGGCCCCAGGGCCCACCGAAGAGCCCCTGGAGTGAAGTCGGGCATGTCCCCCCACAGAAGGAGACTTCGAAAACAGGCAAAAGCAATAGTCTGGGGACTACTTCTTAACAATTTTGTTTTGGATTTTTTTGGATACAGTTGGACTATTTTCGATGTCTCGTACAAAGTCCGCCTGTAGGAGGACGTGTCCGACCTCACCTTAGGCCGGGCATTCCCCCCCTACAGGCGGACTTTGTGCGGAGAAATCCAAAATATTCGAAAACAGAGACCCCGACATTATCAATATCTATCTCTGTATACATATATGGGTAAAACATCGCCCCAGGGCTATCTGCTATTATTATTGAACTGTCTTCCTGTGGAGGGACACGCCCGACTTAAACCTAGCCCTGGGGGCTGGAAGCGGCTTCCCAAACGCCCTCCCGTGGCGAGCTCCGCCCGCGGCGCGAGGGGGGCCAGCCTCCGGGCCACGAGAGAGTCGGCCGCTCGCGGCGACGCGGGCACGCCACCAGCTGGAAGCACGTCCCTCCAGGACTCTTAGGTATGAGCAGGGAGGGAGGAGGAGGAGGAGGAGGAGGAGGAGGAGGAGGAGCAGGGGGAGGAGGAGGAGGAGGAGGATGAGGAGGAGGAGGAGGAGGAGGAGGAGGAGGAGGAGGAGGAGGAGGAGGAGGAGGGAGGAGGAGGAGGAGGAGGAGGAGAGGGAGGAGGAGGAGGGAGGAGGAGGAGGAGGAGGAGGAGGAGGAGGAGGAGGGAGGAGGAGGAGGAGGAGGAGGAGGAGGAGGGGGAGGGGGAGGGGGGGGGAGGGGGAGGGGGGAGGGGGGGGGGGGGAGAAGGGGGAGGGAGGGGGGGGAGGAGGAGGACCGTAGCCATTTTGGCTCAAGTAAAACATTTGTCAAGGCAGCTGGCCAGGACAGCTCTTTGAGCTCGCGCCCGCAGTTGGCTGCCAAGCCAGGGCGTGAGCAGTGCCCTTCTCTTTCCCATACCACGAGGCTGATACCTTGTGGCGACCGTTGTCCAGCACGGCGCCGTCAGACGTACACTTCCGTTTGCCCCGCCCGCAGCCATGCAGCGCTCTGACACATCAGTGCGCGCGGCCGTTGCCCACCGTTTATCGAGTCCGTCTGCGACCAAGTGTGAGCAATGTGGTTGTGGACGCAACAAACGATGGTGGAAATGGTGCAAACACTGCAAGGCGCCGATGCCCGCTGCCGATGATGCCGTGCTTCAACGTCCGCGTGGGCCTGGTCGGTCTCCTGGGCCTGCTGCTGATCGTGGTCAAGCACTGCGACGCGTGCCCTGGATACGACGCGATGGACAATTGGTGAAGGCCTCAGCAGTGTCTTCCCCAGGGCCAGGCGCTGCACGGCGAGTCCCATCGGTATCCTTCGCTGACGGCACGCGGCCAGGAACTGCTTCGCCCCAACGCTTCTGTTTGGAAGAATCGGCATGGCCAGGCCCCAACGGTGAATCGCAGGAGCAGGCGCGATTGGCAGACCTCATCCAGCTCCTCCGTGCCAATGGTGACGCGGAGATGGCAGCCAAGTATCAGTCGAAGCTGGACTTGCTCAAGCAGCAGATGGCCATTGAGAACATCAGCGTCGGCCAGGCGAAGCAGAAGGTGGAGCAAGCGGAGGCGGCCCTCCGCAGGGCCATCACCTACTGCGAGAAGCTGGAAGAACAATTCGTCACGGCCCAGGACCAAGTTGAGTCCTGTTCGGAAGCAGTGGGCAATGCCCGCAGCATCTACACGCAGGCGGTCCAGAAGCTTGCAACGTCCGTGGACACGAAACTGCCTGACAGCGCCGACGCTCCTGCTGCCCCTCGTCTCGGCAAGGCTGCTATCTTGGATGGTAAGCCCCTGGACCTCGACGACGGAGGCCCATTTGGACTTGATGAGTTGGGGGAATTGGCATCGCCCGAGGACCTGGTGGAGGCTCAGAAGAGGAAAGGGGCCCTTCAGGAGACGTTTCGGGAACTGGCTACCGTCTGTTTCGGGCAGGTCAAGGCCAACGCTGATGGGCTCAAGCAAGAGCACACCTTGGCTAAACAGCGAGCGGCAGCTAAGAAGCGACGATGCGAGCAGCAAGAGGAGCCTGGGCCAGGTGATGCAGCAGCTAATGATGACGAGACTAAGGCGGCAACGGAGGCTGCTGCCAGTCAGGCGACAGGTACCCCAGCTGACTCCAAGGCTGCGCCTTCTACGCCTGGTGCTCCTGCATCCCCTGAAGCTGAAGCCGCCTCCAGTAAGAAGGCCAATGGCAAGCCAGCACGCCGTTCTGCATCGATCGCCAATGCTGCGAAGGCCAAGCTGGCTGTTGGGTGCGTCGCTACAGGCCCATCACAGCAGGGGCACCATGGACTATGACTTCGACTACCAGCATTCGGTTTTGCTTGCTACTCCGTTGAGTGCAACCTTGGATGCTGATCAATACCTTCCAGATCATCACGTTTCAGCTGGACTTGCAGGTTACTTCTGCGTCGGGGATACCAACTGGAATAATGGTGCCTGTCATTCTCTACCTTATGAAGAGTATCTTGGTGGGACGCAGACCAGAGTCACCTACGACTGCAACCCCTGGCCGCCCTGGACACACCCCTCTTCCCCATCTACTACTTTTGGTTCCTCAACACGATGTACTACTTGCAGTACCAGGAGTGGGTCAGCATCTACGCAGTGCGGCGCACTCACTGGCCCCACCTTTCCTGAGAAGGGGATGACCCCGTGGCGGCCCCACGGCGCGAGTCTCCCTGGAGTTTCGGCGTGTGGTTTCCAGCAGAAGTCGCCACACGTCCATCTTAGAGGTGCTACCAGACCTCCAGCTGGCCAGGGATGTGCCCTCCCTGGGCTGGAGACACGAGCGACACAGAATACGGCTTCTGCTGGGACATCTGCGACGGCTGGTCCACCCACGACGGCGAGGATTACCGCGAGCAGCTCGGGTACTTGCGGTGCTGGGTCCTCCACGTATTGGACGATTGCCACCAGTGGACCTACCGCCTCGTCTATTGGGTCTTCGACCTGGGCGTCAGAACGCTATACGTCGCCACCAGCCTGCCCTTCCCCTGGGGCACCCTCTCCACAGGAGGCGAGGGAAACAGCGCATGGGGGAGGCGGGTTGGCAGTTTTGCCAGATTCGCGCATGGCTGCAGCTGGGCCTCGAAACTTTGTGCCTGCGCCCTGCTTGGAACGACAGGCCAGAGCCTGGGCCCAGCGATGGGTCAACAACCCGTATCACGGACTGCAGCCAGATGATGAGGCAGAATATCATGATGTGTGTGGGAGGCGTTTTTGGCGCAAGAGCTTGCCCATCCGAGGTTTGCGCATACTTTGCGCGCACGTATGTAGACACCTTGGCAACTGGCGCATGAGATATGTGTTCGTGCTTGGCATAAAGGTGTGCGTAGTCGTCAGAGTTTCCTCCGCTGGTTTCGCAAGCTAAATAGCAATCAACAGCTAGCGGCCGCTGGTATGCACAACTACGAATGGGAATCCTTGAGGAGTTGGATCGCAAGCCATCACCGCCAGGGGCCAGCGCCACCTTTTGGTCCACTGCCTGGACAATCACGCCGCGCTCCACGCCGACCAGCAGCAGCATCTACTGCGTCCTCCAGTTCGGCTGGCACTTCAGCTGCGACGGCTTCGGGTGCACTGACTGGGTCTGCTGGTTCGCCTTCATCGACGGGTGCGACTACTGCTCCTGCGACGGCTTCGTCTACGTTGGCTTCCTCTGCGGGGACATTGAATCCTGCTAGCTCGGCTGCAGGCCCCTTGCCTCGGCCGACGTGGCACCGGGCTTCTCCGCCAGGTGCCACTGCTGCCCCCGACCCGTCGCCTCATCCTGCAGGCAGGAGCGTTGGGAGAGGCCAGCGTCCCAAGGCCCAAAAAAGCAAAGACAAAGTTTGGAGATTTTCACGACCAACCCTAACAACTGGAACGGGTTCCAGGACGTCTGGGAATGGATACATCCCATGGGGGAGGTTCCTGACTTCGTCGCTGTCCAGGAGACGCGTCTATTGGCAGGAGACCCTGTGTCTTCGGCGACTTCTTGGGCAGGTTTTCGAGGCCTCAACTCCCATCGTGCTCCTGCTGTTCTCACAGGAGACCACCAACTAGCTAATTCGGCAGGTGTTGCTGTCGCTGTCCGACGTCATTTTGCGAGCAGACACCTTTCGCATGAGCAGCTCGGGGTGGGGCCAGTCGGACGTGGGAGGATTGTCGTCTTGAGAAGGGCCTGTCTTCCTGCAGGCGCCACAGTGGCGCTACTTGCCTAAGTACGTAAAAAGTACGTTTCCGAGTACGTTTCAAACCACCTCCTAAGTAGGGCGTCGCAACCCGATACGTTTCCGAGTACGCACCTTAGTTCGACAACCGTGTTCGCCACTTTTAGAAGTACGCCCCAAACCATCGGCGATTGTCACCGTGCCATTCGCGCTTGCCCGCTC